ACAACAATTATTTTTTTATATCCATGGTATTAGGCAACCATCAATACATCCCATCATTTTATTCAGAATTAGGCAACCATAATATACATTTTATTCCAATCTAGGGATTTCTAGGGATATTTTAATGTTCAATTTAGGGTGGACAAAAATTTTCACCTGGCAACCCTGACTGAGTTCTTCCTCACAGTCCGAAGTGGAACTCTGCTTCTTACCGTTTCCCCTCGACTTTCTGCTGATTTCGCTGTTTGCTCCATGTGTTAAAAATGGATCATGTCATGTGAAACCTCTTATTCAGCTTAATTCTTATCACTGTTTAACAATTCGTATTTTGTATTATTTTCCGACGAAGGTCTTCACATTTCGTAATTCTTCGTCATTCGGACATAAAAACATTCGGGCTTGTGTCAAACTAGGTCAAATTGTTATTCTTTGCTTAATTTGAAATGTATACGTTAAACTGTATCGAATGTATTCTTTATTTAATTTGGAATATATAATGATTATTTAATTAATTCTAATTGTTCTTTTCTAGGCTAACTACCCCTTATTTTGTTTCTTTTATTTTCTTGTTATGTTGACTTGTTACATACCGGGCTAACTGATTGACGATTGCATTTGGGGGGTGGGGTTGTTTCCCTTGGGTATGTGGCTGATACATTACATGCCTTGTTGTAGTCTCTAAAGCACACATAAAGATCTCGATTAACATCCAAACATATTTGGGTCAGCATGTTAAAAGAAAATAGTGCGTCTCTTGTGCCCATTCCTTTCCGAAATCCAAACTGAGAATCACTAATATCCATCTGCAGCGTAGCGTGTATTCTATCATGGATGGTTTTTAGCAGGTTTTTGCTGGAAAAGGTCTTATTTCGTTTTTTTTTTTAATTTCTAATTTTAGTTTGTTCAGTTATTCTCGGGTTATAAACTGAAGAAATTGTGCATCATATACAGTATAGGAAAAAGTTTATGGTCGGTATGGACCTTACGTGAGATGGAGTGAGAAACAGCTGTTTAGAAAGAGAGAGGTATATTAGGTCCGCCCTTTATATCGCCAAACATGCATGCCTGGAAAGGGGAAGTTCAACGTTGCCAAACTTATTGGATTTATTTGACCTGTTGTTTTTTTTTGCATTTGAACAATGTTCTAAGATAATCCAATTTGGGCGAAATTGATTTAAATGGCAGCTTACTGTTTTTTTTTATTGGGAATATGCCACAAGTTTACTTTACAATAAGTGTAATATAACATTTTGATTTCCACTTTGGAAATCGTTTTATATAAATAAAATTTATTAATGTTTCGTATTTTAAGTATGATTTCCGAATTAAAAATCTAAACATCAAAATAAGCTTATTTTAAAGTCACATTGTGCCTTATTCTCAATATGAAATAATAAACTGCATACAATAACGCCACATTAAAAAATATTCATACACAATAATTATTTGGCAACGTCGGTCTGGTTTTCCGAACGAGTAACGAATAGTAGAGGTGGGTCGTGATAGTTTTATCGTTAAGAGCGTAGACACAAAATTTCGTTCCAATATTTTTTAAAACGCATTAATTTTTTGCGAATTCTGAGAAAACTAATAAATATTTTGAAAAAATCTAAACATCAAAATAAGCTTATTTTAAAGTCACATTGTGCCTTATTCTCAATATGAAATAATAAACTGCATACAATAACGCCACATTAAAAAATATTCATACACAATAATTATTTGGCAACGTCGGTCTGGTTTTTCCGACCGAGTAACGAATAGTAGAGGTGGGTCGTGATAGTTTTATCGTTAAGAGCGTAGACACAAAATTTCGTTCCAATATTTTTTAAACGCATAATTTTTTTGCGAATTCTGAGAAAACTAATAAATATATTTTGAAAAATTTAAACGCAGAATGAAACAATACATTATTACCGAGGGCCGAAAGTCCTGAAAACTTCTATAATGTTTATTTTAATAAGTATAGGGGTGAAAAAAAAATTAGTGTGATTTTTAATTTCAAATATCTCATTCAAAAACCTTTTTGTTTATTCTAAGGACTTTCGGCCCTCGGTAATAATGTAATCTTTTATTCTGCATTTAAATTTTTCAAAAATATTTGTTAGTTTTCTCACAGCCGTATTCACCAACAATTTTTAAAATTTAAGCGTTTTCCTAAGAGAGGATAAGTATCACCTAATACAAATTTGGTATTCACCAACCCTTAAGAATCTCTTATATCGTTAAGAATTTCCTAACATTTAGGCAACCGATATTTCGCTTCCTAAGAGTTTAGGCGTTTCTTTACCAACTAATTGACAGTTATTCATATAGGTAACCTAAAAGTTTTTTGTGTGGTGTATAAATTATTATAATTCAATTATACAGTATAATCATTGTTTTTATTTTATTATGGAAACAATTGAATTGTTAGAAATGTTGGACAATTTGGATGATAATTCTGAGGATGCAAGATGTCCGCGAATTCTAAAACGGCGAAAAAATTTATTTGAATAATACGATAATCTGGATTTTTTTGACGTTTTAGAATTAAAAAAACTACAGTATTGTTGATTTTACAACAAATTGAAAATTTTTTTATTTGCGGTTAGAAACTACAAATAATTTCTTCTTTTCCTGTAAGAAGTAAGGTATTTGGCCACCTTTTACCATAATTTAGTTAGGTTTTTCGTTATTCTCCGAATTCTGTTGGCATTACGCACGAAATATATAATGTTGCCAGATTTACTACTTCCTAACAAAGTGTTTCCTAGTTAAGCAACGCTTTTGTTGGTGAATATCAAATAATGTACTAGGTATTGCCTAACGTTAAGCAATACCTATGTTAGGTGATGGTTTAGGAATGTTTGGTGAATACGGCTGTCAGGATTCCAAAAAAAATTAATGGATTTAAAAATTAAAATTTTGTAAACAAGTAACTATGATTGTTTAAAAGTAGTTTTAAGTAAGAGAGTACCTACATAAACAAACATAATGGCTATTATCGTTTATGTGTATATTTATTGAAGTGAAAGAAACTAATGATTTATTTATTAAACTTGAAAAATAAACTAAACAATACAAATAGTAACTCGTACTTACATTTACAATACACGTTATTATTAAATCGCGAATAGTCTAAATTGACATTCAAAAACATAAGTTTTTTCAACTTACTTCTTATTAACCGTCTTCTTTTTTTATTTCAAATTAAACCAGATTTTGAACATGTGTTCACATTTACAATACTAATAGTGGTTAAGTTAGGATATACATGGCGATGGTTTTTCCACCGTTGTAATGGACTCTCGATTCAGGTGTACGTGTAGATGAGCCATCTCCAATTAATTGATCAAAAATACCCCATGGATTTAAGCCATCTTTATTGGTTTCTTTTTCTTGTACTGGTTGATTTTCAATAGTACAATCTTCTTGTTCGTTAATTATAGAAGTAACCAGCTTCTTAACTTTTTCTTAATTTTATTTATCTTCATTTTTTATCAGAAAACCCTGCACTTTAAATGGTGAATCCATAAATGTACATAATAACAATGTGCCACTCTGTTCTATCCCTTTAAATCTTTTTGCTAAACCCGATATTAGTAATTGTACTACGTCGGATACTATGGATGTAAGGTTTGCTAAACCTTATTGCTAAATTTAACTGTTTGCTAAAATTTTATTGCAAGATTCTTGCAGGCAGCGTACCATAACAATCACTGAACTACCCTTCAAGTATTTTTTGTCACTCATTGTACTTGTTATTTCTTTAAACAGCTGTAAAATTTGGGAACGCTGAGAACAAATAATCCAGTGTTATTTATTTAGATTTGGTCTAAGTCTAAGTCTGTATTATTTAATACCGATGAGGAACGGATTGCCTCTTCTAACTCGGTACATTTTTTTAACATGTAGTAGGTGAAGTTCTACCTAGTTTCTACGTCTTGGATTGGCCGTTTGGGAACTTTGTTATGTTGTAATTATTACTTTAAAAGTCTTTCTGAAGATAAAGGTACTTTTTTTAATGTGTTTTTTGCAGAATTGTCGAAAATAGGATTTTTTATTTTATCTGTTATCAAATCAGTTTTGACATAACATTCCTGAAGTAATGAACCTGACAGTTTTTCTTGTTGGCAGTTTATATCCAGGAATCTACCTTGCAAACTTTTTAAAAGCTGGTTCTTCACCTATGGAAAACGGATGAAATGAGTCTTTGCATAAGTTTAGTAAATGTCTAAAAACATACACCTGTATCGAGAGATATAAAAGAAGTCGACATGTATTTGTCTGATGATATATTACCCACAAAAAATTTCGAACGGAGATTGGAACTGTCCATTACCGTGGTGGAAAAACCATCGTCATGTATATCCTAACTTAACCACTATATTCATAAAATATTGTAGTATTGTAACAAAATCTTTTCCTTGTGAACACATGTTTAAAATCTGGTTTAATTTTAAATAAAAGAAGAACACAGTTAACAAGAAAAGTGGAAAAACTTGTTTTTAAAATGTCAATTTAGACGATTCGCGATTTAATAATGTGTAATGTAAATGTAAGTATCTATTTGTATTGTTTAATTTATTTTTCAAGTTATAAGAAATATATCCTTCGTTAGGTTCTTTCACTTCAATACTTATACACATAAATGATAATAGCCAATATGTTTGTGTACTCGCTAATTTGAATACTGGTAAACAATCAACTAGTTACAGTTTACGAAAAACGGTTCCGATAAAAATTTAAAAAACGAGAGGACCCACCTCTAGTTTTTTAGGTATATTAGGATCGGAACCAGAGAATATGTAAAATATCTCTGATCGGAACTATTCGTCTCACGAATGAGCAATGAGTGTTAAAAATATTTATGATGGGGAGACCAAGGGAAATATGATTGTTATCTTTGTCTATTCGCTGAAAATATGATTTTATATCTGCGTTAGATATCCTGTTAAATTTTACCATACCGACCATAAACTTTTACCTACACTGTATAACTATTATTTTTATTCTAGGTGGATCCTGTTCCCAGAGAAAGTTCTCCCATTAGCTCAGAAAGCCGTTCGGATCTTGTCAAAATAGGTTCAGATCATACTTCAGGCCATACATCTGGAGACGAATTGGAAACAACAACATCTTCAGATATAGAAATAATATCTAGTCCAAATGGTGATTCTAGTAGTACACAGAGCAGACAAAGTCCGGCTAAACAAACGTGTACTAGAACTAAAATGGAGGGCAGTGACTCTTTGTTGGGCAGACTAACGTTGAAAAAAGTCAAAGGACACAACCGAGAGCCTTCAGAGGCCTCAAGTATTAGTGATGACCTACATCCACCAGAAGTAGATAGGCTGTTGAAGAAGATTGCAGAAATAACTGAGATATTAGAATCTAGGGAATCCAAATTAATAGACGTCAATCGAAGAAACGCTGAACTTCAAGAAGTAAACAGTAGCTTAAAAGACCAGTTAAACACTATTATGAGTAAACAATTAGAAAGCGTCGATTTGTCACAAGTAACGGACGAATACACGCAACGAATATCCATATTAGAAAAGAAATTCCAGCAAGCAATTAGAGAAAAGGACAATTATAAAAAACAATTAGATCAAATCAAGGTAGAATCAGCTAGTAGGCTCAGTAAAGGAGAAATGGAAAGTTTAATATCCGAAAAGGAAGAAACAATCAAGGAATTAATTCACGAAGGAGAAAAGTTATCTAAACAACAGTTGCAGCATTCCAATATCATTAAAAAATTAAGGGTGAAAGAGAAGGAGAATGAGAATACTATAAAACATCTAAAGTAAGTTTTATTTATATAGTTTGTAGCAATTTTTTTGTCCACTCTGTTTATCATGAGAATTTCATAAGATTTTTATTTACCACTTTGAAAATTGTTTTAAAATCTGCAAAGAGAATAATCGTAACCTAAATGTTTACTTGTACTGCCAGGTTCCTCCAACAAGATTGGTACTGCCTTCCTTTTATTCGCTTTTCTTTCTCAATCCTGCATGAACTTTAAAATAATATCTTGAGAAGATTATTCTGATTTTGACGGTGTGGGTGGCTAGTTGAGTCGCGTCGGATGCTTAGCATCTTGACACGACGTGTCAGCTGCAAAGACAACGCTTAGCCGACATAGATGTTTCTCTGGCTGACTTTGTGTTTTTATTTGTCAGAGCTGTATTATGGTTTTCTTAATTTCTGGTTTATCTCCTGTTATCAAGATGATAAAACGTGTCCAGCTGAGATAATGTTCCCTCAGTTCTAAGTTTTCCTATGGAAACTTTCGATGGAATGTCTGGAAAGTAGTTCATCCATTTAATGATGGATCCGTATAGACTACAACCAACCCAGACCCGTGTGTGGTGAAACAACCATACCTAATTTACTCTAAGTCATTTTTATTATCGTTGTTATCTACTAAGGAAGATTAACTTACAGTCTATCCCAAACCCTTCTTTCGTGCGTCACTAATTTTGACGTCATATAGGATTTTAAGAATGTCGAGAATTATTGCATGATATTTAGTTAAAACTGACAGTTGCAGGACCGTAATCAGCTAAATGTGAAAAGGTTATTTTTTTTAAATATGGAGTAAAAACTCTAATAATTCAAATTTTTATTTAATTTACAAATTGGAGGTCCCGTCCTGTATAAAAATTTTTATTGCGCATTATATTGGAATGGCAGTTTGTCATAATTCCTATTCTATGCATTCCAAGGAAAGTGCTTAATTAGCTAAGATTTGTTTATGGATTTATTAATATTTATTACAAACACTATGGAATTGGAATGTTTGTTTATTTAAAAAATAAGCTTCCTCCTAGAATCTTTTAAGAGTTGACTGCGAGATAAAAAAATTACGGGCAATTGCAAGGCATCAAAGTAAACATTCCTGTGATAAAATAACATCGATTAAAATCAGTCATATTTGGATAAGTAATTTTCCGATAAGTTTCTGTGGCAGCCAATAGTTTAATTTTGTGAAGATTTATCATTAAATAGTGGAAATACCATCGAGAAAAAAGACAAAAGAGGGAATGTAAAGGTAGTGGGGGCCAATATATTGTTAGACAGGAAGTGCGATCTTTAGAGGCCACATTAAAACAAGGAAAGAGAGTCTCTCTCCTTGTTTGACATCAAATTTTAGTTGGGTTATGTTATGTATTGTTTGTATGACCCAAATGTCACATGAAATCTTATTTATATTGAAGTTTTTTAACAATTGTGTCGCATTTTAGACTCTTATCATTAATAATTAATTAAAACTTTCTCGTCTAAGACACATTCTGAAAAATATTATATAGCTACTGTTGATAAGTGTCGGAAAATTTAAATGTGGCGCATTCGCATTTCCGGATATGTCCGCCATCAGAGGCCACTTTTTTGGTCTCCTTTTCATAAGGATTAGATTCCCTCTTTTGTCTTATTATTGCTCGATGGGAAATAGTTTAAATAGTGAAGCAGTTGATTTTTGAGTTATTCTACCAGATTTGGTGTGCAAATGAAAAAGTGTTATGAAGTTTATTTTAAAAATCAATGTAAATAGTTTAAATAGTGAAGCCGTTGAATTTTGAGTTAATCTACCAGTTCCGGTATCCAGATGAAATAGTGTTAATGCAGTTAAGTTAAAAACAAGATACCGAATGTAAGTTTACCTACTTTTTTATGAATAACAAAAATTGGACGATTTTCACATTTGGTCCCATTGAAGATAGCTTCAAATGGGTTTGACAGAATGAAATATTGGTGTTTCGCAGTGTTGAAATTTACATTACAAACGAAACATACGCAATTAAAAGCAATAAGATATTTAAACACTAATATTTAACGATTACGAAAAAAAGAAAAAGTAAATAGTTTTAAAACAGTTTTTAACAGTAAATAGTAAAATGTCCATAAAATCCATAAAATAATATGATAAAAATGTACCTTTTAAAAGCTTTATGTCTTTGTATTTGAAGCATATAACATATACATTATAATAACATGGCAGCATTGCCTACGCAATATTTCGTTATGTGAAACTTAATTGACAGCTAATTTGAGGCTATCTTCAATGGGACCAAATGTGAAAATCGTCCCAAAAATTAATATTATATTTCAAAGAATGCACAATCCTTATTCAACATAAGCTGAAATTTCCTTATTGTTTCTTTGTGAAATGTTTCTTGAATGTCTTGAATGACATCTTGAATGACCAGTGAAGTGTAAAAAGATTTATCAGTGTATCAGGGATATATATATATTTATGGTGTTTTGAGTAAAATGGTATAAAATTTATATTTATTAAAAAATCATCTGACTTATCTGACTTATTAAAATGAGGACTTAATAATAAATCAAGTACGATTTTTACATTTGGTCCCATTAAAGATAGCCTCAAATTAGCTGTCAATTAAGTTTCACAGAACGAAATATTGCGTTGGCAGTGTTGCAATGTTATTATAATGTATATGTTATATGCTTCAAATACAAAGACATAAAGCTTTTAAAAGGTACATTTTTATCATATTATTTTATGGATTCTGCAATTTTATACCTTATATAAAATATTAATGAAGTAATATTTGTTTCGTTTGATATTAGTTGTAATAAATTATCAGAAAATTTTTTTAGCAATTGCCCTTTGGTAGGTTAGCGGATAGATTTGGCAATAGAGTCAGAACCCTCAAACCACCAGCTGCCAGATTGCAACAGTTGCCTTTTAAATTTTATTATTTTTACTGACATTTTACTATTTACTGTTAAAAACTGTTTTAAAACTATTTACTTTTTCTTTTTTTCGTAATCGTTAAATATTAGTTTTTAAATATCTTATTGTTTTTAATTGCGTATGTTTCGTTTGTAATGTAAATTTCAACACTGCGAAACACCAATATTTCATTCTGTCAAACCCATTTGAAGCTATCTTCAATGGGTCCAAATGTGAAAATCGTCCATAAATCAATAATGATAGGTTGAATTTGGAGAATATACTCTTGATGGTATGAGTTTTGTAGACATGACGGAAAAACTGGGATTTAATCGAATTCAAAAGATTGTTGATGGTTGCTTATGCGTAAGTATCTGTGTATACATGTATGAAAAACTTGAGGAGTTTTAAAAAGGAAAAAGGTATATGAATATTGTAAGAACGTAATTATTTAAATTATCGTCCTGAAGTGAAAGCGTCCTAAAGTTTTGAAATTACGTCGTATGCATGAACTTTTCTAGTTTGTTTAAACTTTGCCGAATTATTCCTAAATATTATTGACATGTGTATATTTTATCGTTAAATTCAATCCAAATCTTAACATTATTAAATTATTTTTAGGGAAAGTGTGGAAAGTTTAACCACCGAATCAGATCGCCTTAAAAAATCTTTAACAGCTAAAGACGAAGTTGAAAGAACTCAAATAGAAGCTATTAACCAGTTGACGTCGAAAAATAAAAAATTAGAAAATGAAGTTAACAAATACAAAGGGCAACTCGACGATTTAACGCAAAAATATGATACAACCAAGAAATCTTTAGATGCGGCTAAAAAGGAACTTCAAGATAAAACCAGAACAAGTAGTGAGTTACAGTTGAGAGAACAGATGCTTGATACTTTAGAAAATCAAAAAAAGGTTACAGAGTTACAAAATTCTGAAGTAAGTATTACCTGTAATTAATTATTCGTTCAATATTTTGATATTTTTATATCAACATACAATATTTCTTGGAAGTAATTAAGAACAAGAAAAAGTCTTTTCAATAAACTATATACTTTTAAGACAGACGTTTCTATTGTTGTAACACTTATAGATATAAGATATTAAGTTTCACATCTTTAGGATATTTCGAGCCAAACAGCGGCAAGGTTTCATCATATATATATTATAATATATATATTATATATATATATATATATATATATATATATATATATATATATAGTCCCAAGATTCCTAAGAGGAACATAGGGCTTCCACAAAGTGTCTCCAGCGAACTCTATTTCTGGCTAGTGCTTTGATTTCAAGCCAGGATTTTCCCATTTTTCTCCCTTCGTCCAGTACTGTCCTTCTCCAAGTTCCCTTAGGTCTGCCTACTTTCCGTCGGCCTTGGGGATTCCAATCCAGCGCTGTCCTGGCAATGTCATTTGGCGGTCTACGGAGTGTGTGGCCCAGCCATCTCCATTTCTTCGCCTTATTTGCTGTATGACATTTTCTTGGTTGCTTTGGTTCCATAAATTTTCATTGGAGATTCGGTTAGGTCAAAATATACGAAGGATTTTTCGTAACGCTCTATTGATGAAAACTTGTAATTGGGTGTACTATGGGTGCTGATATCTTCCACGTTTCGCAGCCATACAGTAATACAGCTTTTACATTTATGTTGAAGATTTTTAACTTCGTTTTAGTTGGGTAAATCCTGGATTTCCATATGTTGTTAAGCATGTTGTAGGCGTTGCGAGCCTTATTTATTCTTTCATGTACATCACGCTCTGTACCCCCATTACAGTCAATTATGCTGCCCAGATATACAAATTCCGCTACTCTCTCAATTTTTTGGTCGTTGATCATAAGAGGTTGGTTGTTTCTGGTACCAAATCGCATTTCTTTGGTTTTGTTGATGTTTATTTCTAGACCAACCTTCTTTGATTCTTCTTGTACTTTGTTTACTTGGAGTTGCATGTCCTGTTTTGTATGTGCTAGGAGGCATATATCATCAGCGTAATCTAGGTCTTCCAGTCTGTTTGTTAATCCCCAGTAAATTCCTCTATTAGAGTTTACCTTTGTTAGTACGGAGTCCAGTACAATGTTAAATAGTATGGGGGATAAAACACAGCCCTGCTTTACTCCGTCTAGCATAGCTATTGGGTCAGATGTTATGCGTTGTGTAGGATTTTGCTTTCTGTGTCACCGTAGAGTTCTTTGATGAGATTTACTATTTTTTCTGGTATTCCTATTTCCTGCAGTGCTTTCCATATGGCCGTATGTGTGAGCGTGTCAAAAGCTCTCTTGAAGTCCACAAAGCACACAAAGAGAGGAGAGTTGAATTCCTGTGACTGTTCTACAATTATTCTTAGTGTGTTAATTTGGTCCACGCATGATCTGTTTGGTCTGAAACCGGCTTGTTCCTTCCTCAACATTGGTTCTACACTGTTTGTTAGTCGGTTGTTTTTAATTATTGCTGTTAATTTATTTATTGTATTCAGAAGTGTGATTCCTCTCCAGTTTTCGCAATATCTTCTGTCACCCTTTTTTGGTATCTTTATTATTAATCCCGTTTTCCATTCTTTGGGGAACTTTTCCTCTCTCCAAGCCCTTTTCAAGAGTGGTTGGATTAGCTCTGCCACTGTACCTGGGCAAGCTTTTAACAACTCTGGTGGAATATTGTCAGGGCCGGCTGCTTTGTGTGCTTTCAGTTTTTCTATGGCCATTTCTATTTCTTGCGTTGTTGGTTCGTTGGTGTTAATTCTCAGTTGGATATTGGGTATTAGGTTTTCTGCGTCTTCTGGTGGTGTTGGGATGCACTTAGAGATTCGCTAAAATATTCATGCCATCTTTTGACTTGTTCCTGTGGCGTTGTAATATCTTCACCTGTAGCACTTTTTACAATTGGTTGGTGGGTAGTATATCTTTTATTGGCTAGTTGTTTAGTGATATTATATAATTGTCTCATGTTTGATGTTCATCGGCGACTCGCGCTTCTTCGGCAAGATTTTCTACCCACTTTCTTTTTTTCTTTTTTTGCTGCCTTTTTGACAGCTTTATTCGCTTCTCTATAACTTTCTCTATAGTCGGTTCTTCTCTGCTGCTGTCTTGGAATTTAGTAATTCTAGATTAATGTGTTTGCGACGTTCTATTTTGTTCCACGTTTCTCTCGTAATCCACTCTTTCTTTACGTCTTTCTTTAGGCCCAGCACGTTTTCACTTGTTTCCACAAGGGCTTTGCTAATCGTTTCCCAATTTTTGTCTTGTCTTTCGTCGATTTTGGATCTCAGCTGTCGTGCGAATTCTACTTTCGTCTCGTTATTTTGTAGTTTCTCAATGTTGAACTTTTTTTCGAATAGGTTTGTTCAGTTCTTTTCTATTTCTAGCTATTTTGAATCTAATTTCAACCATCATCAGGTAGTGATCACTGGCCGCATCTGCGCCTCTCCATGATCTGACATCTAAGAGAGATGTTCTCCATTGCTTACTGATTGCAACGTGGTCGATTTGATTGTAGGTGCGGTTATCTGGCGATTTCCATGATACCTTGTGGATTGTTTTGTGTGGGAACAAAGTCCCTCCAATGATTAGGTCATGGTTACCACATAATTCAATGAAGCGTTCGCCGTTGTTGTTTCTCTGGCCAGTGCCATGCTTGTCTAGTCTTAATTTGGTCCTAATTCTTGCAGTGATTATTCGCTCTGAAACTGGTTTCCATTCCACAAGAGAATTTTTTGTGACTTTACTAAATAGAATTCCTATTCCATTTTCATGTCTTCCGCCATCTGTTTTACCAGAGTATATCAGCAGGTCGCCTTCCATGTTGACGTGCTCTCCCATCCCATTCCACCGTGTCTCACTGAGACCTAGTATATCGACTTTAAGGTTTCATCAAGCCGGTCTCATTTAGCATAACTATTTTCTACGGTCCTTCCAGCCGGATAGCTGCACGATTTTATCCAGCCTAGCTTATTCCGACAAACCATTTTTTCAATGTTTTTATCAAACAGGACTAATTTGTAATTGTGTTAAAAATTGTTACTATTTGACACAATTTTTATTTTATTTTCTTATATAATTGATGTCTTCATACTTCTTGGTTACAGCTCGTGGAACAATTAGAAGATATGAGACAGACTTTGAGGCAATATGAGGCAAATAACATTAAAAATGAAGAGAAATCTCGGGAAGACATAAATAAACTAATGAGAAAATTAGAAGAAGCGGAAACGAGAAATGAAGAATTATCACAATCAGTATCAGAAGTCAGCAAACCTTTAATCAGGCAATTAGAGTCTTTACAGGCAACACATTCAATGAAATTGGCGGCATTTGAAAAGGTAGAAGAGGAATTAACGCTTAAGATAAGTAAGTTATATCCTGTGATTATTTTTAACCATTTGAACCTTCATTCACGTGACATTTCACGTCAAATGTCACGTCCTGCGTCGAATGGCACGTCATTCACGTCATTTGACGTCTCTTACATAGCAATCAAATCAATAACAATGGAAATACGCCCCGTTTTCCTATGTTACCATACCCGTTTTCCTATGTTGCCACGCCCCGTTGTCCTATGCTGCCACGTCATACGTTGTAATGTCCTTTTGACATTTTTGTTGTACTTGTGCTCCCCTCCCCTTTTCAACGAGCTGTCGTACGTCTCGATCGTATGAGCCGTTTAGGCACTACAAGCTTAACGTTCTTTGGCAATGCGTCACCATGTTTTTTTCTGTGCCTACGTATTCGTTGGCCCCTCCCTTTTTCAACCAGCTGTCGTACGTCACGATCGGACGAGCCATTTAGGCACTACAAGCTTAACGTCTTTTTGGCAATGCGCCGCCATGTTTTTTTCCTGTGTCTACGTACTCGTTGGCCCCTCCCCTTTTCATCGATACCTTGCACGTCACGATCTGACCAATAACAACGGAGATACGATATAGTGCCGTTTTGGCATTGTCTTTTCGTTTGCTTTTTGTGTTAACATATTCGTTACCACCTCCCCTTTCCATCGATACCTTGCACGTCACGATCCGATAAGCCGTCGCGCCTCCACCACGAAAAGCTCAAAAAAACGACCAGAATGGACCTTAGCGATTTCTTATGAGATTTAACATAGGAAATACGCCGAACCCGTGCTCCCCTCTTACTGTCTCATGTACAAGAAAAAGTATGCAATATATTTTTTAGTAACTTATTTCCAATGTTTAATTCTAATATTAAAGTAATTCAGTCACCATTCTTTATTTATTGGCGTTTGACTATAGCTTTTAAGCTAGCTTATAAAAGAATGCCCAGTTAGTTAAATCGGGTGATCTTTTTGTTAAATAAAAAGTTATAGTTAAACCACTCAGTCTTTGGGCTTCCATCATTAGTTAATTATCTATACTAATTGCTCAAATAAATATTTCGAATCTTACATGATCATGGAGGAGTATCACCGAGACGCAAGCCCTTATCTTTTGCCGTACTGCTCCACCATAGGCCGATCAGACACCATATTCTAGTCTAAGCCGCAGATTTATCAAGCATTTTAAACTGCTGCGTTAGCCTTTTTATTTTCTGTACACCGAGCTGGGGATCGAATCCTCATCCACTGAACCACTCGCAGTGAAGCGAATAAGAACCGGCCGCCCAGCCCGCTTGGCTATCTGACCGACATCTACATCTATATTTTTTTTATTTCAGCTGAATTGCAAACAAAATTACAAACATCATCAAGTTCAGAAAGAGTCATCAAGGATGAGTGCGTTCAACTTAGATCCAAATTTTCCGAGATGGAAAGTCAAATAAGCAGTTCAAGACATAAACTGGAGTTATTGGAAATGGAATTACAGCAACAGAAAACTGAAAAACTTATAAGTGAACAAGAACTTAATAGTAAGATCGACCATTTAAATAGTGTTATAAAAGAGTATCAAGAAACAATAAACGAAAAGGAAAAGGACGTGTCGAACTTACAGCAACAATTAAGCTTAGAGAAAACTGCCCATGACTTGGAAAAAAGACAAATTGGAACTACAAATCAGGTAAATAGTCATATAGTCGTTATTATATAATTTCCTGAGTTTCATTCATTTTTACAATCTTATGCATTAATCACATCTAATCATTAATACACATCTAATCTTTTGGATGAACAACGTTTCAATTCAGAAACACAAAGAAGAGCCAGTATGGAGCAAAAAATGCTTTTTCCATCCTTCTTCCTCATCCTCCTTCCTTCATATCGATAAGATCTGTTGTTGGTCTTTCGAAGAAAGGTAATTTGTCTGTATATGTTAGATACTAGTGTTTGTTTTTGTAAGAGATCTTATCTATTAATATTGCTTTTTGAATATCTCTTATAAAACTAAAATGAACAACATTGTGTAGTAGATATAGTAGACTTATAGGTCTGCAGTTTTGATATCCTCTTTGCTACCTTTCTTATGAATGAGAATTAAGTTTGCTGTATTAAAGTGGTCTGGTATACATCTTGATCTTAGGCAGTTCGTAAATATGCCTGCTAAGATTTTCCAGGTTTTTTACCAGCTTATATAAGCAATTCCACTGTTATGCCATCTATTCCAACTGCTTAACCGCTTTTCATTTTTGTAATTGTTCAGGACCATTTATGCTTACGGGGAATCAGGGCCATGAGTTGAGTGTGTCTTTCATGTTAAAAAGTTGTGGGGAGTACCTTACCACTCTGCCTCAGTGCGGTTTGGTAAGGGTCCGCTGGTGTGTTCCGGCTTTTAAGGCTCCGAAGCCCGCCTTTCACCCTCCTCTTTCTGCTATTTAACGTACTCCGATAATACGTCATATGCCGGGGGACTTATGTCTTTTGTTTGCTCTTAGCAACAAAAGAACAACCCCTTCTAGACTTATACCAACATTTAATCCCCGTATGTGACCGATAACTCTTGTTAGAGTATAGGTGTACTTTTTTTCCACTCTCTCCTGTCCTGAATCTTTTCTCTCAGTTTGCAAAAACTAGATCAAATGTCCTACATAAAAAATGGAGTTTCAAATTGATACCAATATAGTATTACTGATTAAGAGAATGCTCTAATATTCTAGCTTTAGACTTTTCACTAATAAACTTTTTCATTCCTCATGTTTAACATTAATATTAACTTTTTTTTTATTTTTATAGGAACATATGATAGAAAATCGTGGTAGATCCTCACAAACGGGTAGTAATTCCCCAACTTTAAGTTTAGGTAAAGGATCCATTGCAGATTCTATGACCGGTTCATTTTGGTCACAAGTAAGTAAACAGTTTTTAAATATGTTTATCAAATCAAAAATCAGTTCAGTTATTAGAAAACTAGCACTAAAGCAAGAAACGAACTTAAGATATCTGTACAAGCTAATAAAATATGATCATTTTCAAATGATATTTGAATTGAAAGAAGCTATTTCTTTCAAAAATTTCAACTGTACACAAATCTCTTCCAGATCTTCCTATCTTGTATTATCACTTCTGATTCTCTACATGTAACTCCTTTTTTGTCCAGTTTGCTATTACTATTATTATTTTGCTATTACATCGTTCCAAGTCTCCTTAGCTTTTCCTCTCTTCTTTTTCGCTTGTGTTTTAGTTTTCCATATCTTTTTGACCGATAATTTATTTTTTATTCGCTGCAGATACCAACTTTTTTTTTAACAAACTCTGTCATCGACTCTATTTTTTTATTTATTGTTTATTTCTTAATATTGTTCTGAAGCTATTTTCTTGTGGAATTTTAAAAGTAATTACTATTTAAATGGGAATAAGCCACAATTAAAGTTGAAGTACGTTTATTGACGTTTCAATTTCCAATTCGGAACAAATTTTGTCATTCCATTTAATCCTATGTTTATTACCCCATGCGTGTTTACATATTTGAGATCTATCAAATTCTCTATTTTTAATACAAAATGGATGTTCACTTATTCTAACATTTAATGGCCTTGATGTTTCACCTAAATAAAACTGATCGCATTCACAAGGTGTTTTATAAATGCAATTCTTTGTCCATTCTTGTTCATTGTTAGGTTTGGTTTTGGACAAAATAGATCTTAACGTGTTTGTTGTTTTGAATGTTGTTGAAATGTTGAATTTATTTCTTATCCTTTTAAGTTTTTCTCATAATCCTTTTATGTATGGTATTGTTATTTTCCTCGTATTATTCCTTGTGTATGCTGTAGAATCTCGTTCTAAGTTGTTCTGTTCTATTCGATCGATTGTTGAAAATTCCTTATTTATAAACGATAAAGGATAATCATTTTTTACAAATGTATAAAACAAATGTTTACAAATGTTTTTCCTCCAAGAACGAATTTTCGTTAGAACAAGTAATTTTGGCTCTATCGTATAAGGATTTAATGATTCCCTTTTTTGATTTGAAATTTAAATTTAAGATTAGATTTACCTAATACCTATGCCTAATACCCTTGACGATCAAAATCTAAGGCACTAAATATTTCATGTGAACACATCCACCATATAGTTCACGTTGAATTGGACATGACATTAGACACATTTATACAATAATGTCTGAATTTTGACCAGAAGCATCACGCTCGATTTGTGCTCGGTTTGAAAAGGATACTAAGTTCCTAAACCTTATTGTTACTATGGATGAAACACAGACACAAAAACTTTTCCAGCAATGGAAAAACACTGGTTGTCCAAGACCTAAGAAATGTATAACAAAATCTGCTGGAAAAGTCCTTGGTTCAGTTTTTTGGAATTTGTAAAGAGTAATCACGATGAATCTTGTATCTAAGAGTAGAGCAATAACCATCGAGCAAAAAGACAATAGAGGGAATGTAAAGGTAGTGGGGCAAACATATTGTTAGACAGGAAGTGCGATCTTTAGAGGCCACTTTAAACAAGGATAGAGAGTCTCTCTCCTTGTTTGACATCAAATTTAGTTGGGTTATGTTATTGTTTGTCCCAAATGTCACATGAAATCTTATTTATATTGAAGTTTTTTAACAATTGTGTCGCATTTTAGACTCTTATCATTAATAATTAATTAAAACTTTCTCGTCTAAGACACATTCTGAAAAATATTATATAGCTACTGTTGATAAGTGTCGGAAAATTTAAATTTCGCGCATTCGCATTTCCGGATATGTCCGCCATCAGAGGCCACTTTTTTGGTCTCCTTTTCATAAGGATTAGATTCCCTCTTTTGTCTTATTGCTCGATGGCAATAACTAAGAATTACTATTTGACGTTACTGATCATTCTACGAGAAAAAAATATGAACAACAGACGCGAACATTATTCTTATCTGCAGTAGCGCGAAAAAGCTGTGTTGTATTGAACCAGGTTCTGAGGTTCTTTAATCAAGATGTTCTTTTTCTTCCTGGACATGAATATATAATGATCATAAATGATCCAAATCTACTCGGCGTTTTTAAGATGGAGAAGAATAATTACCACTAGTACTTGGCATTGAATCCATATTGTTATCTTAATAACACTAATATGTCGCTAAATAATTCTGAAAAGAACTGTTTTTTATATAAATGCAAACGAAAAATCTAAAGATGTAAGAAATAACACAGAAAATACAAAAAATTGTCGATATAAATTTTGAATTTTAAAATTTCACAAATGTCATTAGTGTCAATATGTCATAATTTAGTGGAGTAAACTTGCCTGCGCTTCGACCAATTACAAACAAGCATTATGGCGCGGAAAATTTGAATTACTCCTCCTGGTTTAAAAACAGACCATAGTAAACAGCATTTGTGAATCCGAACTATCTTTAGGAAACAATTTTAGGAGATGACTCATGAGGCTTATAGTACGGTAATCTTTGCATTTTTTGGCTCCTGGTTTTTTTGGAAGTGCAATAAACTCAGATTTCAACCATTCTGTTGGTATTTTTGTCTATTTGGTTCCTAATAATTCCCCCGGGTGCGGTTCACGCGAACATTATCCAAAGACTATTTTGCTTTTGCAGGACAGTGTACTTGCACACAAATCGCATATTACCATGCAAAAAAATCGTGATTTAAGATTTTTTTTACTCGAATACCCCCTCATTTATTAAATCTGGCTTCGTCTGACTATTATGTTGTTCCTCAATTGAAAAAAGTTCTAGATGCGTTGCATATTTGTTCTATATTGGGAAAAACGCCCGTTATTTATCAATACTTTGTTATATCTTCGTTATACATGTATTAAAATTTTGTTAACTGTTTACTTATCTTTTAGGACGAACCATTTGAAGTTACTTCTACTCCCAGATACACAAACATGTTTGAAATGCAAATGCTACAGTCCAGTTTAAAACAACGGGATGGAGAACTACAGCAGCTACAATGGGAACTAAATAGAAGAGAACAAGAACGGTCTCTTCTCAATAACGAAATATCTATACTACTTACAAAAGTGGAAGATTTGGAAAGTAGGTGTACGGAATACGAAAGTTTAAAATCTAAATTTACCGAACTGGAACAACAGTACGACACATTGTGCCAGCTATACGGAGAAAAGGTGGAACAGAATGAAGAGTTGAAACTGGATTTGGAAGATGTAAAAGACATGTACAAGAGTCAAATAGATGAATTGTTGAGACAACAAAGAGAAAATGCTAAGTAAATACTTCAAAATTAGGTTATAAAATAAATTGATGACTGTTAATGATGGAGGAAACTAAAGACTTATAGTGCTTTGCTGCATAAGTTTTAGTACTACTGGTTTTTATAGAACAGAAAGATATTTCACAGTAAAAGTAGCATTCATATTTTTATTTCATCCTATTAAATTACATCGATAACCGGGTAGTAAGTAATTTGGTGATAGTTGTAATTAAATTCATTTGCTTTGAATTTTACATCATTAAGATGTTTTTTAGCTTTTTGGTACACTCCTTTATTACTTTGTTTGCAAATAAGAATGTAAAATCATTAGCAGTTTTCTATTGGTATAAGCTGAAATTCACTTAGCTCTTAATGAAGATTGGGTAACATATACAAAGTTGGGATAAAGTATCATCATCATTATCCAGCCTTTATTTATCACGTCCACTCCTGGACATAGGCCTCCCTTAAACTCCTCCATTCTTTGGAGGATTTTTAAATCTCCTTATTGCCTTCGAAACAGTTTTATTCATTTCTCTTAGAGTGTGGCTGTCTGCATTCTTCTCTTTTCATGTGTCTTCTTTGATCTAGCAGCGTTTCAGTATATGGACTTATTTTATTATCTAATTTTCTTTTAGGACAGTACACTCGGTGACTTTCTTGTAAGGCGTTTATGATACAATTATTCAAGTCGTTAAGATCGTTTTGGAGGTTTCATGCAGTAGCTTATTATTAATATGTGCCTGATATTGGTTGATATCTAATGGGGATGTCCAGATACCATGAGATTTATTTTTAATCATTATGTTTTTTTCTCTTTTTGTGTTGATTTGGACTTTCGCTCGTATCATTCTGTGGTCACTGCGTATGGTGAACTTGTTAAGTACTGCTACATCTTTAATTATTTTTTTTTGTCACTTATGATATAGTCGATTTCGTTCCTTGTCATACCGTTTGGATTTTCCAGGTCATATGTAGGTCATTTCCCTTGATCATGTTTACAAAAGCTACGGAAAACTTATTTACAGAGACCATGAGAAAGTCGCCGTTTACTTCCTGACAGTGTACAGGTCTATTAATAAATTTGTGAGTCACTTTTTTTAAGAGTTCTGAGGCATGTTGGTTACTTAATGTAAGCACGTGGTTTTATATAACCGCAAAGAAAAAATCTAAGTGGTTAAGGCCCGGAGAACGAGTAGGCCACTCTACTTCCAATCCATCGATTTGAAAAATTCGCATTAAAAAAATCTCTAACCCATCGATGGGAAGACGCTCCATCTTGTTGAAATCATTTTGTAGTAACTTACCTTTCTGTTGGAGGGTAGGAATAATTTGGTTATTCAGTAAATCTTGTTACCAGTCAAGTTTCCGTCTACGAAAAATGAGCCTATAAGCATATTTTCGACAATTCCCATCCAAACATTCAACTTTTTTGGATGCTGGATATATGTTTCATGAATTCAATGAGGATTCTCATTTGACCAATACTAGATTTATTGCGGTTAGCTGTTTCGTTTAAACAAAAAGCTGCCTCTTCAGAAAATACTACAATAACTGCAAAATGTTTTTCGTCGTTACAAATGTCCATCAGTCGCTCGTAAAACTCTAATTGTAGGATGATACTTTTTAATTCTCAATATTTTTCTTACAGAACGTCGATTTATACCATTGTTTAGTGCTAAATTGGTTATGGAAGTTTGAGGTGATTCGTCTAAATCAATCGTACTAGACAAAACATTGAAAGAAATCTCATATCATGTTCAACAGATACTATAACGTTGCATCGTTTTAATGCAACTGGGATCGTCAAAAATTTGTCAAAAACTGGAAGAGTGCCAACCGCAATGAACGAAGTCCTTGCAGTTGGCACTCTTCCAGTTTTTGACAAATTTTTGACGATCCCAATTGCATTAACGATGCAATGTTATAGTATCTGTTGAACGTGATATGGGATTTCTTTCATGATGCTATTCATTAGCTTGGTATGTTTGAATTAGGAATAATAAGTTCTTTTGATCAAGACCAGCAAGAAATTTCCAAAGACATGAAGTAACTTTCACAGAGCCTCTGGATGCAACTGATTCATCCCACATATACATCGAAGCACATTTCTTGCCCAAATTATGGATCCCAAAATTATATGTCTATAATACTCGCATATAAAAGACTTTGTTGGTTGTAAGTGCTGGTGTAGGTAAAGTTTTTTTGCAGACTGAAAGAAACTGATACCACTTCTTTATTCCTTGAATTTTCGGCCACTATTATTGCCTCTTTTTGGCTGTATTTCCGTTTCGGCTCTTCGGTGATGAAGCTCTCTCTCGCACAATGATGTTTCTTACTTATCGCACTTATTACAAGTATCGGACAAGGGATGATGAAAACTTAGGACAGGAGTTTCGTTATTTTCTTGACAGTGCTGTAGGTAACACTTATACATTTTTCTTATGGTCAAAAATGAAGGAAAGTACCGTCTACGAGGATTGTAATGTATGGTGTAATGGCTGGTATATTTTGGAAACATATCAATATGTCGTTTTACCTTATCAATTACATCCTATTACATCAATTACATCAATTTTATAGTAATACTCCTTCCTTTATTAGTAATACCTTCTGTACGTCGTCATTTGGGCAAAGCGATCTCTGTACATTCTGCAGATTCCAATTTCCTAAACCTCAGAATTGGTTAAATATTTCCTGTCTTTGAGGATCGGTGAATTTTTGACACTGAAATCTGCAAGTATGTAAGTATATAAGTTTGCAAACTTCTTGCTTTTACTAACTTGTTTTATGCCTACGTAGTCTTCACCTGTGTTCCTTTTTCGTTTTCTTACTTGCCTCTTATCTAAATCGCTATATCTCAAACGTTTTTTGCCCTTTTTCTTTAATGACGTTTTATTCAACATCTGCAATGTTTTCTAGATCATGATTACTATCGCTACTACTATCTTCTATTGGACTATAGTTTTTGTCCCCTTTTGGATCGTCATATTCCGAATAACTGTCAGTTTCTGAAAAAAACAAGACACATTTTAAGATTATGCTATCAGTTTCTTTCCAGTACTACTTTTTGAAGATATAAATAAATAAAATAATACATATAAAACGCATTAAAAACTTACCTTGCATTATTTTAAGGCTATTTTACAAATGATATTAATATCTCTGCGTACTTTTAAAACGTGGCTGTCACGTACAACTACACAAGGTTTAGAACAAAATTGGGACATGTACACTTGCACCACTTCTACAGAAAACTATTACCAGAAATTGGCGAGAGCTTTTATTTCTCACAGACACATGTCCGTAATGAATTGTGTTTTGTACTTGTACCATTTTTATATTAATAAATATCAACATCTTCTAGCCGCTCATGCACATATCTGACGTTTCTACAAAATGTCACTTGTACCAGTTCTCCTCTCAGCCACTCAACAAATTGTGAAACCGGAAGTAGAATAGTGACAAAAAATATGGCATCAGATGCGTTGTGTATGATTCTACTTGCATGCAAAGTGTCATGAGTGTATTTTTCACTTCAAAGATATTTTGTTGGTTGCATACTTTATCCCAACTCTGTATTGACATAATATTGGCCATCTAGAGACAGCTAGTTTCCAAGATCATAAAAGTCTTATTTTGTTTAACCACGCTGTATGTTACAATAATATTGTTGAGGGGCCTAATGACATTAATATTTAAATAAGGCCAAGAAGGCAAAATTATTTTTTTAGCATCATTGGCAGTTTATATAAAATTTGTTTAGCACTTATTTTATTGTTGGCATTTAATATTTGATAATGTGATAAAACGTTTTTTTCCTCAGCAAAAATTTTTAATTGTGCAAAACGATTTGCCGAGTGTGCATGTCATTGTATTCTATCAAGTAATGATACTATTCGGTCCATGATACTATGAACTAAAGATAAACCATCGAGCAAAAAGACAAAAGAGGGAATGTAAAGGTAGTGGAGGCAAAAATATTGTTAGACAGGAAGTGCCATCTTGAGAGGCCACATTAAACAAGGAAAGAGAGTCTTTTCTTGTTTAAGAAATCAAATTTAGTTGGGTTATGTTATTGTTTGTCCCAACTGTCACATGAAATCTTATTTATATTGAAGTTTTTTAACAATTGTGTCACATTTTAGACTGTTATCGTTAATATGTATTTAAAGTTTCTCGTCTAAGACCCATTCTGAAAACTATTTTATAGCTACTGTTAATAAGTGTCGGAAAATTTAAATTTGGCGCATTCGCATTTCCGGATATGTCCGCCATCAGAGGCCACTTTTTTGGTCTCCTTTTCATAACGATTAGATTCCCTCTTTTGTCTTTTTGCTCGATGAGATAAACCCACGCGCACGCGATCAGTCTATCTCTTTTGCAGGTGTGACATCACTTGGCGACAAATGTCACTAGAAATGGTCTGTTTTGCATGGAGTTTTGTCAGATTTAGTATTGTTTTATCGTTTATCTAGTACGTTGACAAATAAATGTCTGCCCTTTTAGATAAAATATATTTCAGAATATTAAATTAAGATAAACTTTTATCACCAAGTGACATCAGGCGCATCGACTTACAAAACTCGATTACGAAGTGGTTTTATCTTGGAAGTCATAGTATCATGGATTCGCGCAAGCATCAATGCAGGGCGATTGGGTTTTGACAGACGTTTTTTGAAATTTTGAAAGCGTAAAACTACAAAAAAATGTACAGAAAGATAAATTTATGTTATTATTCATTAGTGTAACAGCCATTTAAAATCATCAGTGTTAATTATTTTTAAATTACTATTATTTTGTATATTGTTGTTTTATGTAAATATTATTTGTATTATATAGTTTATCTTACGTAAATTATCTATATATTTTTTTTAATAATGTAATAACTTATTGTTCTTTAAAAACACCTTTAAATCCCATCTTGTAACTCCTATACCCCTCTAATTCATACATTAATTTAATCTGTACTATAAACTTGAAATCTTTCTAGGATAAGCCAAAACCGGAGCTCACATAAAGTCTTCTTCAGGTGATTGAATGCTTTTTTACTAGATCTTTGATCGAATTATGGTTGGTTTGGGCACAGAATAATAAACAATCAGAATGCCCACTCTCCATGGAAAATTAAGTACGCGCATCTCCTTCGCGTAGACGTTCCGCCATGTTTTAGAGGGAACCAGTGTTGTTTATGTGGTGTGCATAGAAAAATTAACCGGTTTAATTGACTTACGGCAATCATAGACATAATATACAATAAAATATTAACATTGTTAAATATAAAAACATAAATATAATATAATTAAACATAAATATAAACAATTACATAACCTCACAAATCATATATCTGCGTTAAGTATTTCCTTCTAAAACATGGCGCGCGTGCTGAAAAACTTCAAAGGCGGCATCTGAGAGTGGGAATTCTGATTGTTTATTATTCTGTGGTTTGGGTTCGATGATAAAGTGATTTGGCAATATCAGAAAATTCATTCACAAGTTTTGTGTAATCTGTGGAAGTCTTAAGAAACTTCAAAATTCACATTTGTCATTTTGTAATTGGCCATGATCTGTCGGCTGCTATTTTCAGGATTTGATCTGAATGCAACGGAAATAACGTGTCCCAAATATTTTACCTGTCTTCTGAGCAGTTGATATTTCTTTGGGCTTAACTTCGGGTTAACATCGATTACATTTTTAATACATCTTCACTTGAAAATATATTCTTTTATAGTGTAGACAGGATTACTATAGATAATCAGTTATTTTAATAAACCAGATAGGTTATCTTTTGGTGATAATAATTGGTGGAGCGAACCTGGTCAAATCAATTTGAAAATAATTACGTATTTTAAACAAATTTATTTAAGTACTTCTATAGTTATCAAAATTTTATTTTAAGACATTATTTTCGAGTAATTAAAACTCGCTTGTCCCAATAAATTTGAAGGTGTTACTTTTAAAGGAAGTAGTTTATCGCTTTGGAAAGTCGATTTTATAAATAATACAACAGTTCATGGAAACAGTTTATTTGAAACTAACAATATCTAGTATATATCACTTTTCTCTTATATATTATTCAACTTTTTTTGCCACAGTCATTTTGCATAATTCAGGAGGAACATCTACGTTAGCATATACAAATGTTGAATCCTGTTAATTTTTATGGTTATGGATCTAAAAATTGGTGTCTTTTCATTTATGGAATTCATTTTCTAATTGATTTTGGAATTCAATAGGATAGAGATGCAGATAGGTGATCTTTATTGAAAAAATGATGGTAGTCATCATATTGACAATCTATTTATTTTTAAGTTGCTCATATTCAATTATTTTTTGTAAACTTTTATTGTTAGTGGTTTTTGTCGATGTATTCATTAACAGTATCAGTAGAGGTTTCACAAATCCAAACTGATTCGGCGCAATTTGTTCCTCGCATTTCCGGTAAATTCTATTTTGAATTACTTTTAAAAACAGCTTCAGCAGATGGCTTATTAGGCTTATGGTCCTATAGTCTACACAAACTTTTTCTCCTGGTTTTTTGGGCAATGGTACGAACTCTGATTTGAGCCTCACTACTGGTATTTTTCCTGCCTTGTATATTTCATTAAATAGTTCAGTTATTATTTTTATTTGTTCTGAATCTAATAGCTTTAGCAGTTCTGCAGGAATTTCATCAAGTCCCGATGCCTTTCTATCCTTCATTTGTCCGACGGCTTGCCGTCAGACAAATGAAAGATGAAAGGCTGAATGAAGGATGAAATTTACACATACTAAGACTTAATGAAAAGTAAATTGCTCAATA